TWTATWTKKRGACATCACCATRATCGGGGCGTCCTTAAGATTGTGGGAAGGAAAAAAAATCGGGCCAAAAATCGTGATATTTCCTCCTAAAGGCAGGTTGTTGTGTGCTGGGCTGCCCACACATGAATCTGTGTACTTCTATCATTCTCTAAAAATCATGTAAGCTTAAAAAAATATCACAAATGTCTTTAATGTATGTGAATACTACTTTCTGACAACAAAACTAAAAAACGGCTACATAAGAGCAGCTATATTGTAATGTTGGTTGCACATAAATCCAGTTTGTGTGATCACAGAACAGGAGAGAAAAAAATGGATGTAAATAAACTGACAAAGCGAGGATTATMAACATTACACATCAATGCAATAAATATGTTAATAGATGGATGACATCATTAACCAGTGTGTGAAACTGATTTTWATTTGAATGTGTTTGATCTGATCTTTAAACTAGGCCTTGTGAAGAGGTGCAACACCTATAAACTCCTGCTTCTATGTGAACCCACTTGTTGACGTTGGCCAGGTAGATGTCAGCCACATGTGGTCCTGTAGGGGAGGCAGCGCTGCCTCTAGTGGACACTCTCTCCTCCAACAGGTCTCTGTTGTCCACGTCAGGCTTTGGACTTCCCCGTTCCGCGTCGGGTCTAAAATAGTCCAGAAATAAATGCTTGGTGTGCTTTAATCTTGAAACAAACAGGAGTAAAAACCTTTCAGTAAAGCAGGTCTGTATGTTGTAAACTGTAATCTGTAGAGCTGTTCTGTTTGAAAATGTCACATACTTTTTAAAAAGAACAAAAAACTATTTGTGAAGTTAAACTGAGGAAGAAACTGCTCTGCTGTCATGTGCAGTTTGTATCCCAGCAGATCCTTTTTCCTCAGAAACAGGAAGTTGCTGTGAATTCATTTTGGTTCTCGTTAAAAGATCTTTATTTTTCCATTCAACTCTTAAAGAGAAATTTGTTTTTCTATGTGTACCAAATCACAGTCTTCATCACTAACTATGTATGTACTTTAAGATTTTTTAAAAAGCTCTACAGGCTGACATTTGTTTTTACAAAGACTGGAAAACAATCTTACGCGTCTTGAACAATAATGTACTGGTGCGGCACCAGTCCGTCCACTCCGTTGTGCCGTCCCTCCCACCAGTCGTCGGAGGCCCGCTGGTATAGAAGCAGAGACGCCCCCTTTTTGAACGACAGCTCCCGACCGGTGCGGCCCGTGTAGTCGAAGCGAGCGATGGCTTCGACCGGTTCCGACTCTGAAACAGCCAAGGTGCCTGAGATTCAGAGGGCGGGAAACGGASACAGGAAGTGGCAGAAGCGCATTGCGGCGAGAAATGGGAGAAAAACGGGGAGAGATGGAAGAGGTGGCAGATTAGTGCATAGGTGGTTAGTGCTGCTGCATTGTCTGATGGCACAAAGGTTAAAAACAGCTGAGCAACAATAAAACTAGCAGTTACTGAAGCATGAAGTCAGCTGTTATTGGAGGTTAAAACCAGTGGYGGGCACGGCTCTGCTCACATGCTAACATGCTAATAGCAGAACCAATATACGSTTGATCAGTTTAGCTTTTGCATTAACTTTATAAATTAATAATAGACTAACTTTCACAGACTAATTCTGGAATATCGTCAGCCACGTAGGATACTCAAATGCGGCCTACATTTTCAGGGTTTTGTCGGTTGCAGATGTAGGCGCCTACGAATTGGGACAGCCTACGGCACAGTGAAGTGATGTAAGCTGACAAACGTTAGCTGCAACTCCTGAAACAGCCTTTTACTCTTAGTTACTATACTGTATGTTGGACTAGATGTCAATATGTTAAATATCAACAGTTTATCCTTAGCTTCTGCCAATTTCCTATCTATTTAGCTTTTGATCATTAGCAGAACTAGGAGATATTTGCAGCGGTTTAGATGTTACTGAAGCTAATATTTAACCAGTGGGGCCCACCGCTGGTTAAAACTATACATGTGCAGCAGGACGGATCACAATAACAAAATAACATCTGTGTTTTGAAGTAAACAAAGCTGCGTACCATCTTCGCTGTTGTGGCCGACAGAGATGGCATCGGGTGCCGGCTCTTCCACGTGGGGGGGCTCACAGTGTGGGCTGTCACTACAGTGGACACAGAGGGTATAAGAAAGTCGTTACATGTTAAACATTAACTCCATGTAAGATCGGAACACTCTTTTGGACTTATACACTCATCGAAATGTGTTGTCGTATTCCGAATGGTWTCACCAACAAGSTTCATGCCATTTTACTGTCTGTTAGCAAAATATCTCMTGAAYACACACACARATGTGACCATAACAGTCATTTTTACTGCAYTGAAATTAGGCATGATGGAAGCTGTCAGTTATTCACAACACATWCTCTAAGCACCYACAGATTGTGTATGATCATGTTAGATATCAATATGTCACACAGATGACATGTTTTTTTCCCCAAGGTTTAATTGAAATGACTAAAACTCTGGCATTTCTCATGATATTATGATCTTAAGGCCCTGTCACACGATAAGGTTTTAGACAACTTTTGAAAGTTTTGAAGGCATCTATGTTGAAAATGGAATTTAAAAGAAATAAACTGGAAGCCTATTTTCAGAATTGTAAAGTAAGTAAGTACAAATACTYTGTTACTGTACTTAAGTAGAAATTTTGGTTATCTGTACTTTACTTGAGTAATTATTTTTCAGCGTACTTTTTACTTTTACTCATTACATTTTTACACAATGATCTGTACTTTCTACTCCTTAAAATAAAAAAGGTAAGAAGTAGAAAGCYGTTACTCCTATTTTTTTCCGCGTTATTTTAAAAAAATAATATCCTAATAAATTGTGTCTCCTGGATAGAGTGCATTGAATTGTGGTTGAATGAGAACTATAAATATATACCACTCTGAAATAGTATAACTTTGTACACAGTCCATCACAGCTGCATGCTGTTAGAAAAATATTTTTTTTGGAGAAGTCACCTCCCAATAAACGTCATTTTGGAAAGTCTAACTGCTCACTTTTACTCAATACTTTTACTTTTAATACTTAAGTAGATTTTGTGTCAAAAATATACTTTTGATWCTTAAGTACAAAAAACTATCAGATACTTTACGACTTTTACTCAAGTAATATTTTTAAAGAAGACTTTAACTTTTACCAAAATATTTTTATGATAAGATACTTGTACTTTTACTCAAGTATCACTTTGAGGTACTTTATACAACACTGCCTATTTTAGGCGTGTACATAATGTAATGTCATCTAATTGATCATTATATAACTTTTATTAGTAATTTAGGCAWAAAACAAATTTCATAAGTTGCAGTGTGACAGGGCAGGGGACGTATGCATCCCACACACTGAAAAAGAAAGCCTGCGTAAAATGTTTGCGATTTATAATATTTTTGTCAGCTATCTTGTTTCAATTTGGAGTAAGCATCAATGGCGTGCTTTTACCCTCCAACTGAAATAAATAAAGGCTGTCAAATTTCCAATTTCCAGCAGAAAATCTCTCAGCTCAGCAAAGCCCAGCCCTGTGTGATTAACTTTTTTTTATCTCGACTTTCTGCAGCTCAGAATTAAAACCGTTGCTGTTTCAGAGTTCACAGGAACTCAGTGACTGACAGTAATCATAATGGATTGTGTCAGTGCTTGTCATTAGAAGAAAAAGAAAAAAAACATAGCCATTGTGTGCACTGTGGTGTGTTCCTGTTGTGCACATCTTCAGCTGATGTGGTCAGGCGCTGCTTTAATCTCTCCTGTGACGGACAGTAAGCTGATTCTCCTGGACCCGTTGGTTCTGTATAGAGACCCCCTCCCTCCAATCACTCCCACCCCSTCACCAACAGAACAGAACATTAGCTCTCACCAGAAGTCATCTCCGGCTCCGGGGATGCTGTAGATGGGGCCCTGCAGGTCCTGCGGCCCTGGAAAGATGGTGTTGTGGTGGATGATGATGGTCTTGATGAGTTCGTTGACGTGAGCCTGGCAGGAGACCTGGTCGTGGCCTTCGGGGACAGACATCAGGGTGGGGCCGAAACAGATGGCCAAGTTGTAGGGGTCCATCATGTTYTCCTCGCTGTACTGAGACAAGCTGGGGTGGGCGGGGAAAGGCAAAGCAGTTTAACGGCATTATCGCATCTCTAAACGAAACGCACACAAAATCACAACCGTTTGAAACCCAAATCACACCAGCATAAAACCACCAAGTGGGGGGCAACATGGAGACACTCATGGTGCATTTAAGACGGCAGAAACATCAGGAATACTGTGGGGGGGAGGGGGGCAGTAAATCAGTCTTGTAAAGGTGGAAAGTCCACTGTCTCCACATGAGCCGTCTGCTTTACTCAGGAGTCTCAAGTATCGGCTCTCCCCTCGGCTCCTTAATCTTTCCCTCTTTTATGTGAAGCTTTTTCTCTAGCTGAACAGAAAGAAACACTCAAACGACAGATGTGATTTGTCCTGTACTTTAAACAATAGGAAGGGTTTAAACTTCTACAAATACATGTTTTTAAATGTTTTTCCCCCAATTTGTTTATGGTCTTAAACCCAGAATTTGAAGTTACTTTTTTTTTTGTTACAAACTATTCAATAAAACATACAGGTCATCCTGAACTCTAACAAATGATGCAGTTTGAAAATGTTTACTTTGGTCTGTTTCCAGATACATGTGGAATCAGGCAGATTAATTATTTGGAAAATACAGTCAGGTGGAAATACAAGAGTAAATCTGCAAACAAAAGCATATATCTGAATTACGCAGCTCGTCCAAATATATTTGTCGCATTTGTTGTATTTCCCAATATCAAAAATGATGAAACACCATTTATAATCTGAAAAGTCAGATATTTTCTCATTTACAAAATACAGTAAGTTAGAGCCTAAAAACACAAATATTTTCCAAATCATATTTTCTTTTTCTAAACTTTTCCATTTCTGGGGAAATATTCACTGAATGTCACGCTTCTTTATACTTCATAGYATTTGTTAGAATTTTCTACATGTTTTTAGTTTAGGAATATTTCAGCTGAGCTTGATGTTTTGGGACTGATGTGAAGCTATGAAGCCTAATGAGAAACTGTATACAATAATGGAATATAAAAATAAACCTGGTTTGAAGAAGGAAATTAAACAATTTCTGAAGGAGGAACGGATGGAGTTCCTAAAGCAATAAAATGTCATTTTCTGCCTCTGAAACTTGATATTTCACCACAGTTCACACTAGACTTCCTATAAAGGTTAAAGGATGTTTAGATTTGGTTAAATCTGAGAATGTGTTTGTGGAAAACTGAGTGGATTGAAGAAGTGAATCTGTTGAAATTAGAACATTCACCAACTGTTAGTTATAATGTTAGTTATAATAAAGAAAATAATTTTGTTTTTATTAAATATTCTTGATATGCTTGCACACATCCACTGTTCATCTTTAATTTGGTTTATATKTTTAAGTATTATGTATAAAGTGCCACTATTTGACAAAAATCTAATTTGTGTCCACAGAAATACAGGCCAAACTGAGTTAACTGCAGAGCAAACAAGCTGAATTTATTAGAAATATTTACAGCCTGTTTCAACTCCATAATCCAGTTCACTGTAATAATCCCAAAAGAGTTAATAAAGTTCATAACATTTCAGCTCAAATCAATAACAATCCAAATACATCTCAATCAACTCCAGTAAAGTTAAATCTGATTTAACTCTGTTGATATTTTAAAAGCAGAGATGTTGATATTGTTTAAGCAGCTTTAATTCATTATTATCAACAACAATTAATGCCTATTATCAAGCGATCCACTTCCAGACAAAGAAGTTTTCTTCTGGGTTTGCTGCTACTCACTGGCTGAGGAAGGCAAACAGGTATCTCATAAGGATGAGGGTTTTACTCGGCAGGCCTTGAAGAACTTTCTTGATGTGAACCGCCCGCTCCTGCAGGCTCTCCATGGCTGTTAAATAAGACAACCATGACGTGAGGAGATTACTCAAGACAATCAGGCCAACAGAGACAAGCAAGAAACACTCACAAACACAGGATATGAGGTCATGGAAGACTTCTTTAGGGAAGAGGGCGTGCTCCAGGCCTCTGAAGTAGAGCTTCAGCACACCAGCTATGGAGTCGATGTCGTGGTCGTTCTGGTCCCCTGCCAGCGGGTCCTCGCCTGAATGSAGAGAGGAAGAAGGACGAGGGAGAGGAGAGTTAAAGTGATAAATCAGATCTTGAAGTGGGGTTCTGTAGATGGCTCTTTGAGCAGCCTCAGATTGGAGAATAGAGTTTAATTCTGACCAGACTGACAAGCTAAATCCTATTTTTAAAAATYCTTGTAGCACCATCAGTTTCACATGTGTAAATATAAAATTCTATCTGAACTTCTGTTCTACTATTTGCAAGTAAGCATGGAAATCTGATGTAAGTAATAGAGTAATAGGCTTGGCGGTATAACTGTGTTTTTATTAAAGTATGGTGACAGTRTTTAAAAATTAAGACGTATGAGTAAGGTAAGGTAATGTAAGGTAAGGTAATCCACGAGGCTGCTATGAAAACTATGAACTAAGCTAACTATGAAAACACACAGAGGAGGAGGAGGGGGAGCAGAGCTTTTGCGTCTTTGATCTTCCGTTTATGTAGCATACAGAGTAACAGCAACACTAAAGCTGAGGTAAATTTGGTCAAAAACAGACCTGCAGATGCCTGTAAAGCCAAATGGGATGTAWTTTCCTGCAGCGATACTGCACAGCTACATACATCTGCTGCCACCGCCGCCATTACTTTTTTTTAGAGCACATGAACAACTCCTTTCATGATGAGTTCAGACAGATTTAATTTATAACAAGTAACTAGGTGTTAAACTTTAAAGTAAAGAAGTAAAAGTATCATTTTTAGGTATTAAAAGTAACTAAGTAAAAGTAAAAGCCACGATTTAAAAAAAATACTTGGTAAAATTACAAATCCTCAAAAAAAATTACTTAAGTACTGTAACAAAGTAAATATACTTAGTTACTATAGATCTCTGTATACCACGGTATTTTAGAAAGGTTATAATGTGGCATGAAAATGATTAAGGCCAGCCAAACCTAGCAAGTAATGCAAAATTGAGAGACATCTGTAAGTTCTGGTCGTTCAAAGACCTATCTACAACAGATCGTTTATTAACTGTTTATAACTTTCCCAAAAGACCAGAACTATAACTTTAATGAAACAAGTCAAACATCAGGTTGAAAACAACACGTTTGGTTTGGAGTGTAGTTCTTACCTCTCTCAAAGGCATTCTTGATGTCATTGACCTCCACCTGAGAGCCAGACACTCTGAAGATGCCCTCATGCCGCAGACCTACACACACACACACACACACACACACACAATAAAATTATAACCTCTTGTACATTATCATATACTTTTTTTTTTGGTTTTGTCGTTTAAATATAAGAAGTTCTGATGAAATTTTCAGTCCAACCCACAACCAATCACAGRTTACCAAAAGAAACCCCCGCAACCAATCACTGCATCAAAGAGCTGATGCTAAACCTATCACTTCGGAGGAGAATTTCCTCACCATGGTGACTGATGAAACGGATGCAGCTCTCCACCATCAGTGGAATGGCTTCACCTGAGTCCTGAAAAATAAATAAATCAAAAAATAAATAAATAAATAAACAAGGACAGGAAATACTCGTGTTTAATGGAAGCATTACAGGGCACACACACACACACACACACACACACACACATGCATGTACAACCATGCCGTGTTGAGGAGGACTGGATTTGAGACATGGGTTAGACACAGTGGRTGCAGCTGTTGCTAGGAAACCGCACTTTTCCTTTTCCCCTTTGTTTGTTTGGCTTTTCTGGAAATCTCTCCGAGGTTTCGCTGTACAATATTTGCTGCGTGATAAATTCACGTATGCTGAAGTTATTATTTGAAAATTGAAACCAAATAGATTTTTTTTTAGAAAGAGCTTATGACARAAAATACAAACAAATCAACCCCACAAGGGGGAGCCTCAAACACGAGGTTCTACAATGAGGAAGTTTCCTTCTCATTAACCGCTGATGTGACATCATGGGAGAAAAATAATCATATTTAAGCATATTGTGTTACAGCTATCCAACCTGAGGCACAATAAATAAGCTTTCACTAGTATTTAGATGTCAGAGCATCTCAGGGGCCAAGGCTACTGTGAGAAAACATGTGGTTTGAGAGGGAAACAAAGCTGCAGTGGCTCTGAGAGGCCACTCAGAAACACACACACATAATTACCTGCTTCCGTACGGTGGAGTTTCTCCTTCCACTAAAAGGCAAAAAAGAAAGAAAGAAGAGAAAATAAAAATAAAATAGCGGTACTCTGTCATTAAGCCTCCAGTGAAAGTCTATTTATAATCACAACTCTGGTAATGCTCTATTTGTGTAAACACACACATGCGCACATGTGTTAAAAATATCTGTAAACAGTTACGGGGGGATAAAAATCACGTCACAYGCTGCCAAGGAGTCGGGTTTCGACACGAAAATCGTTTTTGCAAATTTACTAGTGGGGAGAGAGACAGAGCCTTTTTTTCATCCTTCACCACACCTACCTGGCAAGGCAACAGTCAGTTTTCTGACCTACAGGAAGGAAAAACAGGAAGAAGAAAAAGTCAGAGGTGGGAGAGAAGCAGAATAAAAACCGTATAATAATACGGCACTATAAAACAATACAGCATGATACATGTGATACATATGATATGATACTAAACAGAAAATGGGAAAACAAGCTTTCCACTAAAGCCACACACACACACACACACACACACACACACACAC